TCTTTTTTTTTTTTTTTTTTTTTTTTTTTTTTACAAATAATATTGGCAAAATACAATACATAAGACATCTGGGATAAGCTCCAGTGTTTATCCTCACGAAGATTGCAGGTGTACCTTCGTGAGGATAAACGGATTCGAAAATGGGTGGATGGATGGATTCTACATGAAATTTCTGATTAGTCCAATTAAAATCAGTATTTTTCTCATGAACTCATTCACTCCCAAAGACGTTTTTAAACGTCTTTTCAGACTTGGTCCAGAATTGGCTGGTACTGAATGAGTTAATATTATTCTTTAAAAAAAGCTACTTTTAAGGGATCTTATTTTATTCATTATTTTCTTTTCATCCAGGACAGGAAACCACGGCTAACCAGCTCGCGTTTTGCATCATGGAGCTCGCCAGGCATCCTCACGTCATGGAAAAGTGAGGAAAAAAGTCAAGCAAAACGACAACAACGGATTCGCCGGTTGTGTTTTGTTTTCTAGAGCTCAGAAGGAGGTGGACGACGTCATCGGGATGAAGCGGGAAATTAGCTACGACGATCTCGGGAAACTGGTTTACCTCTCACAGGTACGCTGACGGGGGATGTTAAAATCTTTGAATTGTAAAATCTTCCGATTTGAATCATAAAAGTGTTTTGTATTTTCCCCATGATGGTGTTGCGAGTCTACATTTTTGAAACATAGAAAATATTCTCTAATTTCATTCTAGGTTCTTAAAGAGACGTTAAGGATATACCCGACAGCTCCAGGAACGTCCCGTGAGCTCGTTGAGGACATCGTCGTCGACGGCATCCGCGTTCCGGCCGGAGCCACCTGTATCGTAAGGCATTGACCGTGGAAAAAAAACAAACAAAAAAAAGTAAAATAAGAATGAGTGATGGTTTTTATTTTTTTGGGTGGGGTGGGGTAATTTAGTTTAGCTCATATGTGTCCAGCAGAATGGAAAGGTTCTTCAAGAATCCGCTGGAATTTAACCCGGATCGCTTTCATCCAGACTCTCCCAAGTAAGGATTTTTTTTTCTTCTTGTGACATTACTACTCTTTGGAATGGTTAAAAAAAAAAAATATATCATATTTATTTGGTTTACAAAACAAGATCATAAATTCTCCTTACCCCCTAAAAAAATCTGCTAAAAAATGATTTTTTTTTTTACAGCTTTTTTATTTTTACCATTTACAAATGACAACAAACACAAGAAAAAATACTAAAAGGACAAGCTATTCTCAAACAGTCAAATGTTTTTCCGTTAATTCGTATACAGTATTTTATTGTTGTGAGCTTAATTAATCAGGTATCGCAATTTTATTCTGCCAAATATTGGAATCAGCATATTGCAATATTTTATTTAAAAACAACTCATCTTTTTTTTGGATGTTATTTATAATTTGATCACATGATATCCCAGCTTCTTAAGGAAACAATAAATACACTTACAATTCACGCAAAAGTTCGACTTTTGTTCTTCAAATTACAACATTGATATTTGATTTTTGTTTTGTTTTTTTAATGCAAAAAAGAACTTTTTTAAAATGTACATTTCCTGGTTTTTGGCTGACCTGTGACTGCATTTTTCCTATTCGAATGAAAATGTCTTTTTCCCCCCCAAGGCCTTATTACTGCTACTACCCTTTTTCTCTCGGCCCGCGATCCTGCCTGGGACAGAACTTTGCTCAGGTGATGACAAAAAAATAATAATCGACTCAAATTACCCGTTAAGAAGCAACGCTGTGAGTACCTTGATGTATTATTGTCGACAGATGGAAGCCAAAGTGGTGATGGCTAAGTTGCTGCAGAGGTTCGATTTCGCCCTGATGCCGGGGCAGAGCTTTGACATCCGCGACCTGGGCACGCTGCGCCCCAAGGGCGGCGTAATATGCACCGTCACGCATAGGAAGCACTACTGCCAATGAGTGTCCAAACTGTCGGCATCACACCAAAACAACTTTCAAAGTTGTTCTTCAATCCAAGCCAGTAAACCAAGAGAATTATTAGCTACGCCAAATCAATCAATATAGTACTTACTTTGAAATTTTTGTTGAGCTGCATTATCAGATGCCGCAGAATCAGAAACTCAATGCTAAAAAAAAAAGCATTTTATCGTTAACACTTTGTTGTTGTTGATTATGAATCCAGTGGAATTCGTTAGACATTATTAATCAATATAATAAACAGATATCCTGTACTATTAACGAAATATGAATATACTTGATGTATAAATATTGAACATTTTTTTGTTTTGCCTCTAATTCTATTGAATGAATAAAATCTATTTTGAATTACTGTATTTTTATTATTTTTGAAAAAAATACGGTACTGTACTTGACTGGTTCGTTTCACTTCATGCAGTTATTCAGAGTGACCACCAGGTGTCAGTATTGGTCTGGTGACGAAATATGTTGACATTTATTGTTTTTGAAATGAAAAACGTAAGCAAGTTGGTTGTTCATTTATGTGTGCCCTTCGATTGGCTGGCCTGGCAATCACAGTTCAGGGTGTACCACGCCTATTGCCCGAAAACCTTGGTGAGCAGAAGCACATAATGAGAAAATGGGTGGATAAACTATGATAACACGTAATTGAGGTACTGGCTGTTGAGGGACTCATCATCACGGCAGTTTTCCCGCGGGATCCCACTGACTCAACGAAAACACTCAAAAATTTCAGCTGGACGTTTTCTTGACAAAAACTGTATCTCTTATATTTTCTTTTCACTTTGACCATTCATGTTGTCGGTTTACTATTATTTAAGTTGATTTTAACCTTCCTCTGCTTCTTTGTCTACGCCAATTCTGATTGCAGTTTTGTGAAACTTTTACGCTTTACATTTTTGGAATGTCCCTTTGAGTGCTGTCGAGTTCCTCTCCGTTCATTCCTAGTCGAGCAGGATGCTAGATTGAAACGAATTTGCTGACAACATGCAATATCAGAAGTCGTTCCAAATTCCAATATTTATTTGCGTGACAAAGCTGCCAGTAGTTGAATGTCCCACGGTACTTGAAGCGCGCATGGCTGAACTACCTGACAGTCATGTGACGTCGAATCATGTGGCGCAGTCACTTCCTACCGAGCGATCCTTCCCCTGACGCGTTTATCATGTCGTCCTGCTGAACGGCCAGCCGCTCAAGCATGTTTTTACTGAACCACGGCCGGCGGCGCTTGCCTCTCGGGTGCCTGCTTTGCTTGGTGGTGAGTGTGGGATGTTTGCTGCTCCTCTCCGGAGCTACGACGGCCACTGCTACGGCGGCGGAGGAAAAGGAGGCAGGTCCGTGGTACCAGGACCTGTGCAGGTATAAACACACCTCCAGTGCAAACAAAACTACGTAGGCTTCCATTTTAACTCATAGAAGATTATATTACCATGAAATCGCCTAATCACGTTCACGCACACATACACAAAGTGTCAGCTGGGTCATGTGATCGTACTCCCGCCTCGTGACATTCAAAGGTTCAGAGAGCATGAGTCAGCCATTGCTTTCTTCGTCTCGTCAACTTCTTAACAATATTTCTTCTATTTCGAGACGTCTTTTGTCACGCCAAGAGTGTCCCGGGTAGCTAAGAAAGCTCATTTGGGCTATATTTATGGCCACGTTTGTGGCCGTCGGAGCTGGCTGTGGTCAAGCTAAAGTAGCGAGCTAGCGGCTAACCCGTCAACAACATGCGCTTCGCTGACATGATCTCCCCATTAGCAACTGGTTGCTGTCAAAGTGAGCAAATATTGACACGGTGGCGAGCTAACACACGGCGCTGTCACCAAACGAAGACTCTTTATTGACAAACATTCAAAGTTTGAACCGCAATAAGTCGATAGAAACAAGGAGTGATGCTCATCTCCCCTCAGTATGGCTTGGTTAAATGTGTTATTCCGATAGACAAAATATACATTTTCCCCCACAATGTAATTAACGTTTCCCAAGTGTGGCATACTTTCATTAAAAAAAAATACACTCTTAAGAATGAGACACATTAGTGGTGTGCATCTGAATTCCATGGGTATCTCGATAGATATTTCGATACATGGAGTGTACGATACGATTCAAGAACGGTACATTTTCAAATGGGATTATGATTTGGTTATTGGTACCATTGTAGCATTTGTCTTGTTTATTAATATAAAACATGTGAAACCTCTCAAAAGCTTTAAAAGCTGTTCACGTTAATGAAATTCAAAGAGAGAACAATTATCAGCAACGTCATATTTATACCTGGTATCGTTTATGCATTTCTAAAAAAAACCAAAAAAAAACGATGAGATGTGTCTCTAATTACGTGGGGTACCGTTCAGGAACGTACATTTTCCAAATGTAACGATTTGACTCGTATCAGTTAAAACAGATTTTTCAGTTCAAATCGGTTTTAATACCCCCCACCCCCTTAGCGAGACATATTTCAAAATTATATGTCAAGCAGAAATAGGCACACTTTAGGGCCATTGTGTCATAGGTTGCACCAATTTTCATCCCGGCCCACAGACTCCTGGGACACTGGTGAGCCTGGCTGTCGTAAGAGTGACAACTGAGTGCTATTAAAATTAGCACCCATTACGATACCATAATCACCAAGGAGAAACAAACAGCCATCTGTTGGGAACATTTGACAAGAACTGCAGCAGAAATCAAGATGGCAGAACAAGATCTAACCAAACTAGTTGCCAATCTAATGAAATCATCGGGCCAGCTGTATGTGGGGCGGGGATGAGGTTTGGCGTACTGTACGAGACCAATCAAAAAAAAACAAAAAACTGTCAAATTGTTTGTAATTTTTTGGGGGGCTTGGACTTCCACAGACATGTCTTACAAAAGTGTCTGAGCTACTTCTTGTACTTGATTTTATTCCATTTTCTCCCCAAAGCTATGAATGGGAGGCAATCGACCTGGATAAAAAAATAAGTTACACCTTCAAGCTGTGCGATTCGTCTCCGTTGACTTCCTGCGGTGAAGGCACTGCTGTCTGCGCCCGCAACCTGACAAGCAATGTTTACCACTCTGTCGGTGAGTCCGTCACGTCCTTCTCTTCCTGTGTGTTTCTCCTAAAGATGGTTTATTAATCATTTTTGTCGACTAATTTGAGTTGGTTATTGACCCCCCCCAAAAAATTGACTCAATGTTATGGTTGGGGTTTTTTTTGTATTTTTTTTTTCCCCCCTATCCCTCAGACTTAGTAGCTCCTGAACAGTGTCAGGAGTGGCGGTGTTGATTGATTACTTTATGCAAGCAGCCTGATGGACTCTCCCTCGTGTCCCATGACCGCCACATGGCACAAGATGTTTGATAGGTTTTTTTTTTATTTTTATTTTATTAACAGTTGCACTGCAGGATTACAAAGAGACACCGTGGTCATGTATTGTTAGGGTGCTCGGTGGGCTGTCTTTATGATTACGTCATCATCTTTTTCGCATACGATCCAGGTCCGAGCAATTTTGGCCGACGTTCGTTTGCCTTTCTTTGTGCTGTACTTTTCTGTAGTTCTCTTTATTTAATTGGAATCAGTGATGGTTTCTCCGCTTCTTATTGATCATTAGAATGTAAATAAGAAGGTTGTTTTTTTCATTTCTTTCGAACAGCGGCTTTTAAAAACAATTGTCGTGTACTTAAAATGACCTTACGCTGTCTTATTTGGGGTTAGTGGGGCACTTTCTGTATTGTGTAATGTTACACATGACTCATTTCCTTTTCATAGCAGCAAAACAAAGGCTTAAATCGCAACGTTCCCATTGTGGCAGTCAAAGGTATGAGGCTAGAATCATGTACATGAAGACAGTGCTCGGGACTGCAACATTCGAAACCCAACAGTAACCTGCACGGGGGGGACACCAGTTAAGTCATAATTACAGAAAATAAACACGGCAGGTCATGTTTCTTTAGGTTGCTGCCAAGTTCTCTGTATTAAACTACTGGCTGGCGGGGGTGCTGTCAGTGTGGTGACCATAGCAGAACTTTTCCCACTTCTGTTTATTTATATCAACCTCAAACATGCCAGCTGTGACAAATGATCTTCTCAAAGGGCAGTGGCTCAGCTGGGGTGAACATTTGTTTTTCAAAGCAAGCCTGGGAAGGAAAAAAGAAACAACATTTAGAGACGTATTTGTGAAACACGTCACGGCAAACACGTCACTCACCCAATTCGGCGCGCCTCACACATTCAGTCACAGATACGACACTGTTGTTAAGACCCACCCACTCGCACTCCATCACTTCTCTTCTCGTCACGCAGGTGAGCTGTCCCTGCGGAGGCTGTCCGGAACCGTCCTGGATTACAACAGCACCGTCAAATGTGCGGGAAATGACAACTTCATCCAGACCACCATCGGCTTCCAGTGTGGGAAAACCATGGTGAGCTGACACCAAAACGGTTCAACTCTCACAGAAAGTGCATAGTTGGGAGCCAGCAGGCCTTCAGGTCCGATACGGTTGACCTTTGATGTCATAAAATAGACAAACATTCCCACAGACTCACTCTCAACATCTTGATTTTAATCTTCGTCTGCTTCTTTGCCGCTAGTTTCGGCCTCAAAAGTACAATAGTTCTTATTTTGCCCCAAGTCTATATATAAAGGAGCGCCAAAGCGTATTTGGACCTGAGATTCGGCGCTTGGAATTGAAGCGGATTTACACGTGACGGGAGAAGTGAACAATTTTTTTTTTTTTTTTTGTCAGTGGACACTATAGCTTCTTGTTTGGTTTCAAGTTTGTAGCAGACGCGTCGGGGTCATGCACGTTGTGAGCATAACGGTGAGTGTGCGGCTCAACGGCATCCCTCACTTCCTGTTAACTGTCGGCTTCTGTCGAATAAACCCGCGTCACCCTCTCTTTGCGCGTTAAGCGCGGGAATGGAAAGTTACGCTTGTAGACGTTCCGTCACGTTACTCATCAACAGCACAAGACTGACAAATGTGATAAAACGCTAACAAGAAGTGGCTGACTCGGAAGAAAAAAAAATAGAGAAAGACAGGAATGTCTCACTGAGGACAATGTAACTTAAAATTTTTTTAACTATTCAGTTTTATATTAGTCACATTTTTCAACATATATTCACGTTAGCCACTTTGCACTCATTGTCTGCACTTAACGTAACGAATACATCCTCAATCACAACATTTTCTTCACG